ATACAGACGGAGACAGGAACAGATTCCTTTCGGGATCTGTAGGGATCGTACGTGTATCCGATCATTGTCTGTTGACGTAAATTTCGTTTCTTCTCATTGTGTTTACTTTCTTGGAAACCACACCTAGAGAGATCTAACAGGCTCAGATGCCAGCCCACATGTGAGTTTATGCCAGAGATGGGGTCCAAAAGAATAGAAGGTCCTGGAAAGCGGTAATGAAATAGGCGCTATTGTGTATATGTCACGATGATAATATTGATAATAAAATGAAAGGCCAGCAGATATTCTATACGCTTTGCATCTATTTGGATATATAAGCGTTGTGAAACCTTGTTGTTGTTCATGCAGTATTTTTATTCCATTTGCAAAATTTCAGTGATTTTTTTTCGCTTTTTTGGGGTTTCTTTTTGAGACCCTTAATATACACAAATATGTACCATATCTGCAATCAATCACTACAAAAATCCTCTCGTATTTTTCTTGTTCAACAAATAAAAACAGCATTATAATGCTTTTGGAGACATCGATGAGCTTCTGAGCGACTCATTCACATCAGAAAAAAACTATTTGTGAGTAATCACACAGTAAAAGCACGCTTTGTGTTGGAGGCCTTCAAACCGAGGCAGCTTGGGAAATCTCTCTTCGTCCCCCTTTTCAGCTCTGCTTACATGCAACAATGTTATATAATATGGCCATCTGCTCTTCCACGTGGATTCAAAACTATCACTGCCACACAGCCATGTGTAAGCCAAGCCAGTCCACATCTGAACAAGGATGCTCCTTGATGGGATGCCCTCCGTTGAATTGCTCACAGGTGCGCGGATTTATAAACCCATTTATACACGTTTCCAATAAACTGCGTCTTTTTGGGGAAGTTGTTTTGGTATGCGAACCTTCGTGTCTGTGCACGTCCGTTTGTGCTGGCGTTGTTGCAGTGGAATAGGCCTGAGGCACGTCAAGCAACCATAGAGCAAGGACTGAGGTCCCCCTCGAAAATAACAGCAGCGAAGGGGGGGGGGGTCTAATTTTCATAGATGTCTGCGCTCTCTAACTAAAAGCACACCAGTTCGAGGACTAAACGGGTCAAACAAAACAGCAATTACAGCTCTACAGTGGCATCTAGTGTTACTTCCTGGAACTGTTTCTTTTCTAAAGATTAAAGTCTGTTAAATGGACCAAATCAAAGGCTCAAATAAAACAGATCTGCTTTGGCTGATAAAAGCCGGGTGTTTGTCGCAGGCCTGACTGTATGCTCTGGTAGCTTTTAATTAGGGAAGAAAGCGTCTAGACTGTAGAAGAGGACCGGTGTTGCTCCTGAAAAGTGAAACAAACACACACACACAGACACACAAAAAATCATTTGCAGTCTTCAAATGTTGGCGCGCTATGAATGGAAGATCAATGAAAGACAAACATGCCTCATCAGATCATCAGATTCATTTCCTGTATTCATTGCACACATTAGTCAGTGCATAGTGTGCAAGTTGTGATAAGGCTTCTTTAATAACGGGTTTACATGGTGTAATCAATCTATTATTAATGGTTCAGGTATCTGTTACTATGCCAGCTGCAGGGTTTGGCATGTCTAACCCTCTAAAGTGCTAACTCTCCTTTAAAGTCTTGAGTCTTCAGCCAACCCTAGACATAATAGTTAGAAGTTATAAATCCACCTTTGAAATATTGCCTCAAATTATTGTTAATATGTATGGAGGAGGTCAGGAGAGACGTACAACAATGAGTGTCTACAGCTAACCGTAAAACAGGGTGGAGGGTCTGTCATGATAGGAACTGCATTTTAGCCAGTGGTGTTGGAGATCTTGTCAAAATTGGTGGAATTGTGAATGCAGAAATGCACCATTAGGATTCGATCTGCAATGAAATATCATTTGGAAAGTGTCTGATTATCACCAGCTTTATTTTTCAGTGTCAGTGATCCCAAAACTCAATGCCAGTGCGGTTAAAGCATAGAAAAACACAAAGTGGAACACTATCAGTCAATGATGGGCCTCCCCAGAGCCTGGACATCAATATTACTTGACAGGAAACAGAACAAAAAGGCAGGCAAATTTAAAGAAGAAGAGCTTTGAATGCTCTTCATGAAGCCTGGAGAACTATTCCTAAAGACTACTTAAAGAAACGAAAGGAAATGTTGTCATTTCTTTCTGTCATTGCAAATCATTTACTTGAACAAGCCTCTAATGTGTCGGAGTGTTACCAGAACAGATTTTTTTTTTTCCACAGCAGTTCACATAATAGAATAATCGTAATTTTAAGTTTAAGTTTAAGTTTATTCGGTCAACAACAACAGATTAACATTTTACATTTTACATAAAAGTACTCAATCAAACAGTAACCGAAAAAGGAATAGGCTGAAGCCTTGTGGCTTATAATTATCCTTTCCTTTACCCCCATAGGAATAATCAAATCCTTAACCAAGAAAATAAATAACATTGATAAATAAGTTATGTAACAATTTGAAAAGAAATCAATGATAAATCAAGAAATTAAATCAACACAAAATTATTCATCAAGCCAAATTTCTATAACCTTGTATGATACAAATTTTTAAATTCTTCCTGAAAAATGTCTTCAGTTCATCATTAAGTCCATTCCATAATTTCACTCCCAAAACTGACACAAATCTATACTTAACATTGGTTCTCCTTTAGGTATTTCAAACACATAAGACCCTCTCTATCATATTTTCCATCTCTTAGTAGAAACATACTTAAAATACGAATTGGAACATTCTTTTTCATCACTCGATATGTCATTTCTAAAGTTTTAGAATATATAATGTCCATGAATTTTAACATAGATGATCCTACAAAAAACTGGTTGGTGGACTCCCTATATCCAACTTTAATTATTATTCTCATGGCTCTTTTTTACAATTTAAAAATTGAATCGTAATATGTTTTGTATGTGTTCCCCCAAATTTCCGCACAATAAGTCATATAAGGCAAACAAAGGCAAGTATACAATAAATAAAGGCAGTTCTTATTCAAAGAGTCTCTTGTTTTATAAAGAATAGAAACAGGCTTGGATAATTTCCATTTCACATGTTCTTTGTGGGGCTTCCAACAAGGTTTATCATCAATAATTACTCCTAAACATTTTGTCTCATATACTCTGTCACGGCTGGCGGAGAGCCGTGTGGAGTGGAGGAAAAGGAGGACCCAAAATGCAGCAAACTGATGATACGAGTGACGTTTAATTACAGGGTGGTAGTGGCAAAAACAGGCAATGAAGCATGAGTAATTACAAACGGAAACCTAAACTGGGAGAAACTAAGTGACAAACCTGGGACCATACAAAAGGGGTGCGGGGCAGAGAGACGCAGAGACAGGAACACCATAGAACGCAGACGAGCCGACAAAGAACACAGACCGACAACCACTACATATACACACACAAGGTAATCAGGTAATCACACACAAGAGGGAAGAACAGCTGAACCTAATACACATGAGGACCGGAGGAGACAAGCTGAACACAATGACAACAGACACAGACTTTCAGAACAAGACAGGAAATCTAGACCCGAACCGGACACAAGGGGGGAGGACACAGAATAGCTAGAACAGAGGAAAATAATCACAAAACACAAAAACGCTGGGTCAAAATGACCCAGGACCATGACATACTCTTTCAATTTCAACATTATTTAAATTGAATTTTACTTTAATATTACTTTTACTAACTCCAAATAACAGAAATTATGTTTTACTTTCATTCAATGATAGTTTATTAAATACAAACCATCTATTTAACTTCATGAGTTCTGTTTCTACTGTTTTCAGTAATTTCTTTATGTCCTTTCCAGAGCAAAATAAATTTGTATCATCAGCAAACATCACATATTTTAAAGTATCACTGGCTGTACAAATATCATTTATATAAAGTAACAATAACTTAGGTCCCAAAACAGATCCTTGCGGGACTCCACAAGTTACTTTTCTAAGTTTAGATTTCATGTTATTAATACTCACATATTGGAACCTTTATTCAAGTAACTATTTAACCAAAATTGTACATCACCTCTTAAACCATACCTTTCACACTTCTGTAAAAGTAAAGAATGCTCTATCATGTATATCAACCTATTCCAAACTGTTTTTCATCCACAGCCGTTGCAATATTTTCAATAGATTCCATCACAGCTAGAGATGTTGAACGATTTCTTCTGAACCCATACTGATGATCATTCAATAAATCATATTTATCAATTAAAGAATCTAGTTTGTTTGCAAATAGTTTTTCAAGAATCTTCGAAAATTGAGGCAGTAAAGATACCGGTCTATAATTTGACACAATCTGTTTATCACCAGTTTTATATAATGGGATCACTTTGGCAATTTTCATGTAATCTGGAAAAATTCCAGTTTGAAATGATTTGTTGCAAATATATGTTAACGGTTGAAGGACACTATAAAGAACTTCTTTAATTAGCGACATGTCAAGGTCGTCACAATCCATGGATTTTTTAGACTCCACCAACATATGTGATCGCACATGCAATAAAAGTTATAGTTGTAATTTTACGGTATACAATGAATATACAATACCTGACTCCTCTATGAGCTGAGTTAACTCGATTTCCAAAAGTGACTCTCAGTTTTCGCCCATCCTGGACTCAATTAATTTCGTGATCCAGATCAGTACCTGCAGCGGACCAGACCTGCTGCTTGCTGTGACTGCAGCACGTGATTGGCTGCCTGTTACAAGCCCCGCCCACGTCACGATCCCCTTCGGGCTCTCCGTGACGTCAGTTAGGTGGAGATGGTGATATTATATGTGAAAACTATCTTACACATTCTGGCTATTTCAACAGTGAGACATAGTTCTACATAACACAAAAAGAGCGAGAAAAAAATTAAACGACCCACTTAATTTCGACGTCCTCTTCTTATTTAAGAGGCGCGTTAGGGAATTCAAGGCGCACTTTATTGGCTGAGTTTGACAGCAATCACGTGTTCTTGGCACGCGATTGGCTGAGCTCTTAGGAGGAAGTCAAGTGTCACAACATTTCGGGAGGGATAAGCTCGGAGTTGACAAAAGCGGTTTGCCTCAGTCGAAACATTTCGCTACACTGTAATTTTTTTTTATTTTTTTCATTTCCAAGTTGGGTCCTGGACGGACCACGCGGGAAACGATTACGTTATCCGGTTGAGAACCAACCACCCGCGGCGTGCCGAGGACTTGCTTTCACAGTGGACTTTACCTTCACAGCTCGGCACAGAGAGGAGAGTGGGACTTTATTGTTCAAGGCTAGCTAGCTAGCTTTGCAAAGCGGCTTGTTTTTGTGTGTATATAGCGTGGACCGCAGGCTATATGGCTGCGAATTACGAACCGATATATGGACTTTCAGAAGATGAGGTAAGCTTTAAACTCAACCGAGCCCATAAAAAGTATACTACAACCAGGAGTCTCTTCAAGAGGGGTGCAGCCAGAGATGGCCAGCGTTAGCCCGATAGGCAAGCTAACAACCCCTTACCCTGGATAACATTCCAGTGTAATGTTCGGCAGCTGTCAGTTCCTCCCTGTCTTCGTGTCCACTAGTTTTCTCAGCTCATTTTCAGTAGCACTTTCACCACTGTGCCTACAGTCGTGAACCCAAGCAGTCCAAGTTAGTCGAGCAGCCTCTGTTGGTTCGTTCCATCCTCGGTTTAATTCAATTTATGGGCGACTTGGAGCTTAACCGCTACCTCGCAATGCTCTGTTGAATCCCAGATGTGCAGAAGGGAAACCGACCGATTTCTCGGGTGCGATGGCTCGATCCCGGTACAAGCTCGACCGCTGTGTCAGATTTAAAAACTACCTCTTGTTTGTAATCGTGGCTGCCTGATAAGTGAGGTGATCTTGGATGTAGACGACTGAGTTGCCATGGCATTCAGATTTACATAAAGCATGTAGCCATTAATTATGAAATAATTCAAGCGTTATTGTTTTTTGTTTTTGTTTTTAATACTGCAGCATCATAGTCACGAGTCAAACATTGGGCATCTATGTATATCTCCAAACATTTTTTTAAAATAGGGGAGCTGTTATATGTGAGATCGGAGCAGTGTACTCTCAAATGGCAAGCAGTGTGGAATTTTTTTTTGGATAATCCTGGTGGACAGCTAAAAATATATCTTTAATGGTTTCTCAAAGGGGAAATAGGGGTGTGACTCTTGATTGTTGAATTTGCACTCTGCCTGCATTTGACTCATCTGTCAGTCTGACCAGGAAGGATGTAAGAGGGTTCAGCTTCAGCAATTCACTGAATCTGTGTTACGTAGATGCACTTTGAACCCTGTGACGTTAGTTTCTCTAACATCTATGTAGGGATTGGCCGATTTAGCTCCCGATTATCAATATTGGTTATATTAGCCACTGGTAATTTGTTCTGTCACTTCAAGTTTTTAGTATGTTATGTGACTTAAATGTTTCAGTGACAGCAAAGAGGAAACAAATACCAACAGCACCACCAAAATCATGATATCTGGGGGAAGGATCTTAATTGGCTAGAAAATATTTTTAACATCGGGTTTGAAATGTTGGCGTAGAATTTAGGTGCCTTCTTGTGTTAACATTGTATTTATTAGAATTTTTTTTAGTAATCATTAGAAGAAAAGGTGAACCCTATCATTTAACCCACTTTGATAGCTCTGGGGTACCCTGCTGACATGAGGCTTGTCTGTAAAAACTTCCCTCACACACACACACTAAACAGATGGGGATAGTATTCATTGATGATTATACCATGAAACAAAGCATTTACTGTGATCATGAGGTAAACATTCAGTAAGGCACCCCACTCCCCTTTTCTTCTCACTTTGTCATCTGGTGTTATGCTAACATCATTAACTATGTCAGAGACTTCCCCAGTAAATTAATTGCCGCTGCAGTGACTTGGAGAAAAGTGTAGTCACAGCCTGGCATGAGGTGGTTTAGCATATTAAGTGTCTACATATTTTCGGATACTGCGTTTGAGTTTTGGTGCCAAGTTACAAACGGCCATTTATTTATAGGTGAGCTTTATTGATTTAAAAGGCAGCTCATTGCAGCTGGCTGCTTGAAATATCTTAGATGACTTAACTTAGCTGATTAAATGTTTTGACCCATCATCTCTTTCCCTCTGTCTGCAGCATGAAACACGAGTGTTACGGGTTAAGGTCATTGCAGGAATTGATCTGGCGAAGAAAGACATCCTTGGAGCCAGGTGCGTATCATGGAATTTCTGAGAAAACGTCAGAAGATACTGTTTTTGTGTTAATAATAGAAGTGTTAGGTTGCTTTCCTGCTGTCATTGTGAAGGTCTGGTGAGTGGACTTGGGCTTCTTTCTTTCTGGTGCTCTACATGTTCTCTTCCTTGACAAAACTAGGTCTTTTGAGGCCTTCAACATTGCATACACATCATCACAGTTTAGATGGGTCATGCCAAACATGTCAGCTACTTCACTCACTAATAATGATTCGCCATGGATCATTACATGAAGAAATCCATGCTTAAGGAAAACTAGACAGACCTTAGTTGTAGTATTGTGTTTAGCATCCCAACTCTTTGGGGTTCTCCTTCTAGCCAGTCGTTTTTAACCTTGAGCAGCACAGTGTTATGCACAGTTCCTACATTCCTTCTAGTTACAGACCTTGCACCTCAAGTGTTAATCAATGATTTCCATCCTGCCTCTCCTATCCTACTCATAACCCACCTCTGTTACCCTTCTTCCAGATAAAAGAGCTTGACTAATTCTTATACATGCCACATACCTTCCCACATGTGGGAACACAGTGTGGTTAAACTTTTGATGATCTCTGAAGCGTTATGTCCATCAATATCTCCCTCCCATGTGTGAGTCTGTGAAGTGCAACAGACTGTTAATACAGTTTTTACATGATGTTACATAATAACTTTAGTTATTGTAATTTTATTTTTGTTAAGCAGTGTAACTTCTGCTCCTTGAATTTTAATTACCCACAGCTTTGCTTTTGCTCTAATAATATGCTGAATGACTCGCTGTCACTTCTATCAACACCACCTCTGCCATCCTGCTGGCTGTTGTTGTATTTTTCCATGTGCCAATCAGAGACTTTCTTCTTAATTTGAAACTAGCTTTCTAGTGTCAAACTAAACATGGAATATTTATTATGCTGAAGCGCAAACTTCCATTAGAAATAGCAATGACCAGTAAGTCACTTAAATGGCACAGCACTTCAGCTGAAGAGATCTAAATCTTAACATGTGACAGCTTTTTGCTGTTATAGGTCTTTTAGCTACATGTTATTGAATGCCTGAGTAGGTTTGCAAATGTGATTGCAATGCAAAACATGTAGCAAGACTTCACAGGACAGACTCACTGAAGATTGCTTATCATCATTCTTTAAAGTAACATGTTGCATGAGGCTGTAAAGAAATATTTAACTATATTAAACTGTATATCTGTCTGAAATCACCACAGGAGCACTGGAAGCCTCTTCTGAATTTGAGCTCTGTGCCTACTGTTGATCACAGTAATGTATCTGAACTGTAAGAATGCAGACATTGTTTGAGGAAGAGCTTGGCATGTGTAGCACTGTGTGAGTGCTACTCGCATGCCAGAGTGCATGTGTTAGCATCCTGATGCCCTGCTGGCAGGACAGCTCAGCCTGGCTCAGGAGAAAGCTGAACTGTAATGCAGTGCACTGAATGAGGTCTTGATGTGTGGCTAGCTACCACAGGAGACAGTGCTGACTTGGCAGTCTGTCACCTCATAAGATGCTCAAACAGTTCCAGCCTGTTCTTTTCTTCTTTTTGCTCCAAATGTGTTCCTGTCGGTGCTCCTTTGTGGCTCGTGTGTTACATTCTGTTGTTTCAGATTAAATGAAACACTCTGAGGTTTTGTTTTCACCGTTTTTGTGCGGCGATGAGAGAAACGCAAGGAAGTAACTTCAAAGAAGAAGTGTACGGGGCTATGCTTTGATTCCGGCTGCTTTTGGTATCTTTAATCTTGTGTTGACCACAAGTAGCCTTTCTCCCACCCTTAGAAGGATTTTTGCTCATAGAAGGAAGGAGACAAGAAGTCTCCGTGCAGCTGGGATACAGTGGTCTCATTGTTTTTGTTTAATCGCAACATATCATAGAACCACACAAACACACAATTAGAAGCTGTGGGGTTCCTGAAGAGGTTAACTAGCAGCACCTGTTTTGCCTAGGGTATGTTTGCAACTCCTTCAATATCCGTCTGTCTGCCCGTCTAATTTCGTTCTTATTCTTTTGTTTTATCTCAACTGCTTCCTTCAAATGAAAGTAAGACTGCACTGTAGCTGCGAAATTGAATTGCTGATTAGGTCAGTCCTAATGCTATGGTTACTGATTATGTCTGAATAGATTTAAAACCCATTCTCTAATATTTTGATATTTAAAAAGTGTTTAAAATCCTGTATTTAACCTTAAGCAGTTCTTGCTAAGCAGCCACAATTGTAGCTCCTGAGACCACAAGAGGTTATTACAGGATGCTGTGGCAGTAAATTCTGTGAAGGGTGCTGAAATGTGCCATGTGGGTCGTGCCAGAAACCCCAAATCATCATCTCGACACAAAACGGCAATCGCACCATTCACCTGTGTCAACTCAGCATACTGCTAATTTGACCAAAGACACCTGAAGCCGAAGTAGTTGCGTTCTTGACTGCAGTGGTTTGAAGAGTAAGTAGCAGGGGAAGGGTTATTGTAGTAGTAGTAGGCAGTTATTGAGTTGCCTAAATTGCCCTACTAACATTATCTTCCACATCATCTTTATATACCACAGATAACAGTGTCTGGTGGTGGCTAACATGTATATTAGCTGTGTTGATACCACTTAATTTCAGTTCTTTTCATCATGTTGGGTAACAGCTAAGGTGTGTGAATATATTTTAATGATTTAAAGTCTGGACTTGGCTCTCTTGATTGGAATCCAGGTTACATATTGATGAGATATCAAGTTGGCAAGTCACCACTCACTTGTAATGCAGGTAATATGCATCTGTTAATAAGTTACAGTTGCTTTTATAAATTGTGGACTGTGAGGTACCAATTAAAGTGTATTACATTTGCTTTCACTGAATAAATCTCTAATGTCAATATAGCCATCTCTCTTCTAACACTACTAGAGAAACTAATTTGAACCTGCAAATCCAGAAAAGTGTAATTCACACCAAACTGTCTCTGCAGCACAAATATCTTATTACATTAGGTTGAGCAAAGGAAAAACAAAGTCTGTGCAGAAACCCTGCTGTTGCTTAGCTTCTTTCTTGCTTTACTCTTTGTTTTTCTTTTTTTTAACCTCCAAAATCTAGCTTTCAGTAAACCTAGTTGATTAACTTGATCAATAAAAAGTTTTTAACACAGAGGATGCTTTAAGATATCCTATTTAGATATACAAATGCACAAATAAAAGCATCGTCTGTGTTAATTGCGTTGTAATTTTAACGTGAAAGTTTCATGTAGGACTATGTAACTTTGCAAAGTCACCCCCTCCACATGTACACAGACCTTTTAAATAGTCAGTTCTCCCAGGGAAGGGTTTTGCAAAGTGTGACACGGTACCAGGTGTTGCCTGCTGTGACTAACATCAGACTAATTGGTCTTCGCAGTGAACAGTAGATCGCCGCTCAGACCAGAGCTCACTGGAGATTTCTACCCTGTCAGCACCTTCAAATAAGCCATGTGGGGAGTTTTAAATAGCACAGTCACACATGGTCTGCTTATTGTTTGTACTTCTCTCCTCAAAACGTTTAGCTGTTTCTATTTTTAGCAGTCTTTACCAATAAGACAGGATTTTTATTTCTCAGGATACTCAAATGGAAGGAGTGTCTAACTAAGGCGCACCAATTGCAATTTTCTTTTTCTTCTAAGTGTGAACTGTCTACACTGGAACTATAACTGATTGCATTGAGAAAAAAAAACTTAATTTGTTTGTATATGCTAATATGTAATTTGCTTTGGTCTTTTATCACTTTGGAAATCATTGTTTTGATATGGAAATTAAATGTAATATGAAATGTATGTATCCTATTTATTATAGATGTGTGCTGTTTTTGGTAAATATGTATTGCTGGGAGCAGATGGTTTGAATTTGGATATGCTTCCGACTTTTTTTTTTTCTGCTTTGGTTTTGCAGTGATCCTTATGTCAAGCTTTCCCTCTATGTTGCTGATGAAACTAGAGAGCTTGCCCTAGTCCAAACAAAAACGATTAAAAAGGTAAGTCCATAAGTAAACAGTGACTTTGAAGCGTTGAACTGTAGCATGTTTAGTCTGATGTTTGTTGTCTTAGAGGTGCTGTTTATGTCTTGGATGACGCAGTCACAAGTGGACAGCTACTCTGCAAATAAACATGGAGCCTACAGAAGTTTTGCAAACCTGCTTAATTATTCAGGGTCTCAAATTAAAGTCTAATCTTGACTCAAAACAGTGTGCTGCTCTATGTTCATTTTACAGCCGGTCTCACCAGCAGGGCACCTGTCGCTAATGGGAGAACTATTATAAATGGCAGAAGCTAACGGGAAATGGGCAGTAGTTTGGAGACATTTCATGCTATCACACTAATGTGCTGGTGAGATTTCTTATCGTGTACATTTACAGTTGTAAACAGAGTTGTTGGGAATAAGTCTGTTAGCCAGTACTAGTGCAGGAGGACGTTGTGTTTCTCCACTGGTAGGAAGAACACCGATTGTGTAGGCGTTCTTTAAATGTGGCTCCAGATAAATTTATGTACACACTGCTAAAACAAGCGAATGGCATTGTGTAGCCCACGGCATATCTGAATATGGTGTGAGCAGTTAAATCTGCGTGTGCATTCCTACACCTGTACTTGGAGGTTTCTCCTTGTGATTGGATCACCCAAGATGCATGTTAATTCCAGGTGAGAACAGAGCCGTAGCTTTATTCCTTAGTCACACACACTCAGTCACCAATGGCAGCAGACTGCTATGCAAGAAGTAATCTGGAGTTCATTGTACTGCCTGATGGTGCTTTGGCACATGGAGGGATCGAATGGCCAGCCCCTATATTAGTGGAGAGCTCGCTCGACCACCTGAGCCTTGAAGGCCCAATGACCTCTAATGAACCTACTTGTATTGCTTGGCTAGCTTGGCCACTCCTGCCAAACTAATCTACTTCCACACCTGCACTTTAGAAGGGCCTTTTCAGCCACTTAAATGTGCACTTATTGAGTCCCTTTTAAAGTCACAGGTGTGGGATCACAGATCATCTTAATACCAACACACACTCCCTACCCCCACACCTACAAATCAAGGCAAAGCTCCAGAAAGGCACAAAAAGGTGGTGCTTCCTTTATCTGATCAGGACAGTATAGAGGGAGACACTGGTCGAGCTCTTCCCCCGTGGCCTCTTTTTGAGGAGGAAATCTCTTCACAGCAGGGGGAGCTATTACTTGCCATTATTGTAAACCCAGGACAGGAGACGTTTCCGATTCAAAGGAAGCTGTAATTTGAGTGGAAGTGCATATTGATTTCCAGGATTTTTGAATTTTCTGAGCTGCATGGTTTTAATTTGATCTGAAATGTATTGGGTTCTGCTGCACTCCATTTTATTCTTTTCTGAGGCTGTACTTTATAATATGTAGGGGTTAAACTTTAAAGCATAGCTTGACTCAGTTTCTTACTTCCTGGTAGTAAAGTTGGTTATAAGAAGCTGCCAACGAAAGCCTGTGTTGGAGTCAAGCAGCTCAGGCCTACATGCAGCCAAACATATGCTGCCAGTGGCCATGGTTTTCTTTATAGGATATAAATAGCTGACAATAGCACTGCTATGTGGAGCAGAAAAAGAAGCAGTGGTGCTTCGCTCTTCTGTGGGCTTCATGTGTCTTTAAGTGGGACACTTTTGATGGCATCTTTGTTGTTGAAGCTAAGAGTTTGGCTTGTGGCAAGATGACATGAAAAAAATGGGATATGACAAAGAAATAAAAAGCCAATCTGAGGCAAACATCAGTATCTAGATGATGCCCTGAGCACAGAAGAGCTGAGGTTAGGCTGTTCTGGATATTTTTGTTTTTGTTTTTGCCTTGTGAGCTGCAGATTTCATTAATATTGTTCATCCAAGTACAGCGAGTTAATTTGTAATTGTGGTATCTCGGTAGTTTTAGTACAGATGTTATTTTATCGCTGCTGTAAAACATTTAATGTTTATTATTCAGTGTAACTTGTGAAATTCAGGTTTCATTGACATTTGAGTGTTTAAGTCATTTGAGTCACCAAAGGAATTTTAATGAGAACTGTCACTTAGTTCCCAGTCTAATAAAAACATCAAATGTGTGAGGCAGAAGGAGAGTGGATTGGAGGGGGGTGTAACTGCTGAGCTGATGCATCCAGAAAGTGGGTGAAAATCCTCACGCCTGTTAATCTGAAGGCTTATTCTTATCACAGGAGCAAGTTTGCTACAAACCTCCTCTAACAATATAAGAGAGGATCATTGGCATGCCAGATAGAGCCTAATTTTGCACGTGGCCTCTCTTCTCTCACTCTGAGTGGGATGCTTTTCATACATCTGTTCTCTTTTCTGTGTAAACTAATGATGCTGTTTATTGTGTTTTAATGCAGTTATTCATTGTGGCTTCTGTACACTGTGTTTCAGACCCTCAACCCAAAATGGAACGAAGAATTCTACTTTAGAGTGAGTTCAGATTTTGAAATGCTTTCGTGAATGATGATTATTATTTTTATTTATTTTTGCTTTGACAGTCTGTTATTGCTCTACTTTGGAGCAGGAGATGTATAGCTGTGAATCTTTGGTTGCAGTTTAACATGGTGATGAAACCCACGTCTTCCACCCCTGTAATCAAACAGGACGTTATAAGTATAGTGACATGATAACCCTAGACTGAGGGTGTTTAGTTCAGTTCAGTTCAGTTTGTTAGGTGGTTGATAGGCATCTATAATTCAAGTTTTTTTTTAAAATCAATAACATTTTGTGAAATTAAAACGATAGAATAGTTTATAAGATTTCATGGGTGAATAAATGATACAAATTGGTCATTTCCTGTTAGGTAGTTAAGTTGCATAATGATGTCATAATGTGCAATATGGATAACAGCCTTTTAAGAGTATAAGCTGTACCTTTGTGTCAACTTTGATTGCTCAACTCCTGATAGTGTAGGAATTGTTTGCAAGGAAACAGATTTTGTGTATTATAGTAAAATGAGTGCAGCTCAGGCTTCTATTTCGATAATTAGACAGCTGACTGCCTTCTAAGACTCTGCACAGTTTTAAATTATTACAAAACAAAAAGCAAGCAGCCAGTTACCCGCAAATGCACATACACTTTGACATAAACAGCAAGCAACGTCTCTAACATCTTCCTTATTTTGTTGCTCCCACAGGTGTGTCCACAGAATCACAGGCTACTCTTTGAGGTGTTCGATGAAAACAGATTGGTAAGATTCCCACTTTTGTAGATTTATTTAGTTCTCTCGTGTCGTTTAATCTGCTTCGTGCAATCTGTTCTCCTTGGAAATATTTGCACAATATATTGTCTTTCATTTAATGTCCTATGGTGATAATTTGCTTTCCAGTAGCACTTTATTTTGTTCTCTAGTCTCAGTTACGCCAATAAAACATAATGACTGTAAAACTGATATTGCTAAATTTGTCTCAACCAGTTCTGCTTTCATTATACCGCAGAGATTTTCAATAACTTAGAAGACGTTTTATTGACTTTGTCTGCCCTCCCTCGTGTGTTAACAGTTTTCGAGATGTGAACCATTTTCCCAGTTTAACATGACATGATTTCAGCTTTAGGCTTTGTAGATTATAAACAGCGTACAGTTTGTTTGACTGCTAGTTTCGGTACTCTGCTTTCAGACTGTAATCCACTAACAGCTCCTACATTCCTCTTATGTCAAATTTCTCAGATTTCCCCCACAGACGAGAACACTGGTTTCCTTGACTTGTGAAATTAAAACCCCTTTTAGGCCCTCAGTTGCCTTGACAACTAAATTAAATGTCTGCACATTGTCAAGTCTTGCAGTGAGTAAAACCATCACAAATAGGTCTTGTAATCAATTTACTAATTCACTCTTGGCTCTAAACGTCACCTTGGTTGGAGTATCTTCAGAGAAGGCGTGCATAAGAGAAGTGGTTGCTGACACTGTGGAGTCATTGTTCTGTAGAATAAGCAAAAGGCTCTGCTAGCAGTGTTATTTGTTTCCTATGTCTTCTCAGTAACTCTGGGTCCTGGGTTTGATGTTGTATAAAACAAACAGCGGATGCAGCCCAACATAGTTTTGGTGATCTTGGCTGGATAAGGCACATTCTGTCGGGGCCTCTCAGATTCAGGGCTGTTGCTGAGGACCATCGTGGGAGGTTAAAACATTTGGGATTTGTTTGGGGAGTGTCTTTTTGTAACAACTCGATCTCTAGTTTTATTTCTAGGTGAACCATATAAAGACATGACTATTTCATTGATCTAAGCATGTAACACATGTCTAACTTGCTCATTTGCACTCCGTCCCTTCTAAAAAGTGCAGCTCTAATTTTCCTTCAGTACAGTGAACACTTTCTGTATAAGAGGATGAGACGAGAGCACAGCACAGGCAGCCTCAAGCACGGTCCTCTCCTTATATGTCCGAAGAGGTGCTTTTTGTCTTTCTCTTGGTGCGTGCCAAGGCAGCTCCCCCACCACTGGTCAGCATTTCGTTTTGTACTGGAGCATAGTACAAATATAAGAGAACTATGTATGACACTGATGGTTGAATTTGAAGAAGCGGCTAAATAGACCTACAGCACAGTGCAGTTTGAAGCAGGCATGTTATGTCATTTGGCAAGCTGGGCTCGCTGCCATTGGACCACACATTGGCATTTTGTTTCTTTTATACAGAACATTCCCCATAACATTTCTCACACAGACACACATTTATTGACTGTGCCTAACACTGCAGGCAGTGTGTCATCACTAAGTGTAACTGGCTGCCAAGCCGTGAGTCTTCCTGTATTACAGTGTCTTTCTTTTGGCTTCTTTGTCCAGTCAGTATTGTTTCTTGATGCCCTCTTGTCCACAATGCAGACCTTTGATATTTATTTCTTTTTTTTTCATTCGTTTGAAATACTACAGGCTGCTGGTTGCAACTTGTTTTTTGAAAAAGATAAGGTGACGCACTGTGGTCTAAGCCATAGGTTGAACCAGTCCAAGCGGTTAAAACAAGGCAGTTACTTTTCAAGCGTGTAGCTCTGAAATGGCAAGTTGTGATAGGGGCTTTGTCAGTTCTGTGCACGGAGGCGGATGACTCCCCCACTAACTCTGGCTTCAGGGCAAAGTAGTCCAACTCCCACTTTTTCACATGATGATGCTGTGGTGAATCAAATTGTAGGAGCTTTTTTACATTAATGTACAGTATGTTGCATACAAAGCGTCTTTTTCTGTGTTGTTACTTGGAGTTAGGCATTAGAATTTGTGCATGATTTCATTCAGCATTGCAGGCTAGGATCACAGCCAAGTTGTCTCGGACTGCTTTTGGATGCAAAAGGAATGACCTATAAAAGCAGCGTCAAATGTTTGGCTGTGTATGGCAGACATTGCATGTTTATTCTGTTTCAAGTAGACATGCCTTTTCCGAGTGAGGACCATGCTGTTCTGTGATCTGTCAGATACTCTGCTCTTTACTCTCAATCTCACTTTTTTTTTCCTTGATCCATTTTTAGCACCAACTTCCTTATGCTTCTTTTTTTTTTCTGTTTCCAAGCTGCAAGACATTACAGGATAAATTATATTCTCCAGACTTGGTGTTGAATTTTTGACATGATTGGCACCAAATGGCAATTGGTGATCAATTAACAAGTAACCTTGCTGTGAATCTAGAATCTAGAAGTTATTGATGCTTTCCTTTTCCCTTCCATTTCTTTCTGCTCCTTCAGTTCACAGCATGTCTTTTCCAGAACAGGCTGATTGCAGGCAGCACTGAATGATTGGAACCGTTCAATGCCGAAGGAGTTGAGTGGGAGCAAATAAACCGCTGACTGGCATTGCCAACATTGCTGCACTCTTTTTCGTAATAATGCTCTAATTTTATCCAGCTTTCCCATTTTGATCACATTGCTGAACTTTCACCCCTCCCTAAAAATCCAAAGCTGCTCGCCATTTAGTTCAGTTTGATCCAAAAAGAGTGTTTAGTCAACGATAGACGAACGTTTCTGTAGGTGAGCATGCAGTAGTTCAGCCATTTGTCACTCTAGTTAAGTTTCTATTAACTTATTTTTACATTCAAAGAAATCCACAGTCAAAAGACGAAATGACTTGTATTTAAGATGAATACGTTGGGAACTTCTTTTGTTAAATAATATAAGCCACAATATTGAAAAAGGAATGAGTTACGATTTAATTTAATAGGTGTACTCTTGGTGAGTGGTGTTTTGATATTTGAGTGCTACTCTGGGGAAACTGAGCTACTCTTACTGAGATATCAATTTTAGCAAATTAAATCAAATTCCAGATGATGTTTAAATTATGAAGAAAATAGTTTAAAAACTCATGAAGCCAGATGAAAGGACATTAATGAGATGTGGAGGCAGGGGAATTGGCGGGGTTAGAAAAAGTTCATGTTAATAGAGCGGAGGATGGATAGGAGTAAGCAAGCAGGATGTAGGTGGGGTCGTGATGGGGGGGGGTTCATTTGCTACGTGAGGGCAGTATGGGGTCGTAACAGGAGATGGCAGGGCCATTTGTAGTCACGTGACTGCCAGGCAATCCACTGTCACCTCGGAAACCAGGAGTGCCGGCCACTCATATCCAATCATGTCGGGAATGCTGGCTGTCACTTGGCTCAGGCTATTTCTGCCGTCTGTCGCTAGTGCTTGATGGTGCTAAGAGACTGGTATACAGGGATCCTCCTCCTTTTTTCTTTTTTTTTTCTCCTTTTTTTTTTTTTCTTTTAAAACACCCCCCCACCCCCCACCCTCCTCCTCGTAGCCATCAGCCCTCACTCTCCCTCTCCTTTGAGTGCGTTGTGTAAAGTTGTCAGCTGTTTTGCAGTGGCTGTTTTGCTTTTGTGGTGTGAGTACTTCTTTTCTCAGTTCAGCTTGGTGTGGGAAGGAAAGTTGCGGAAGAGGCTGGGAGAGGGGAGGGGGGAATGGAAGAAAAGAGGATCAGTTGTCTAGCCAAAGGAGAAGTGGGCAACAGTTAGGATACTGAGGCAAGAGCCAGAGGAGAGAACCAGCAGCCACTCAGTAAGAAAGTGAGAGGCAACGGGAGATTTGGACGTGGGGTGAAAATGGCACAGCGTCTGCGTTTGTACTTTGGCTCAGGACACAGTAACACAGCCCCGGACATACTGGAAGGAGACTTTGAGGTGCAGCAGCGAGACGACGATAGGGTCACGGCACACCTCGTGCAGCCACGTCCAGCATCGAGGCCTTCCCAGGACTCTGCTACGGAGCACGTCCCGTTGGCGGCTTTTGGTTTCCACTCTGAGCCTTCGCTTAAACGCAGCTCCTCCATGTTCATACCCCAGCTTGCCGCCTACACTGAGCCACGTCCTACTAGGAGCTCATCCATGCACATCTCCCTTCAGCGCTCCAATGGATCCAGTAATGGAGATTCCAGTGGTCATGCTGATGATGTCCCACCACCCTGTTATACTCCTCCAGGACCTGCGCCTGCCTATACCGAACCACAGAGTCAAGCTAACTTTCCGCGGCAGTCCCCTCCTCCATACTACAGCCCTGATTCTTTAAGTGTGCAATCTTCTCTGGCGGAGCCAAACCTTCCCAAGCGCAGGGTCTTTAGTATTGGTTCCAGCAGTCATTGTACGTATAACAGACGCCAGCCTGGCATCAGTGTTGGTGCCATCTACATCCAGAGGAATTCTCCTGACGGCTCTGATGTCCAGCATTTCAGAATCCTTCCCTATGGCGGTACCGGCTGGTCTGTCCAGCAGCAAAGCCTGGACCAGTCCTCTGGTGTTAATGGCACAAAGCAGAGGCTAGTGTTTCAGCTCCAGCAAAATCAGAGCCAGGATCAGAAGCAGGGCAGACAACCGGATGATCCATCACAAGAACAATGCACTGATGCTGGACCCAACAGCTCAAGAGGTTGCCATAGGGTGCGCTACCCTAGAATTCGATTACATAGAAGCTCGTCTCATCAGAGGCTGCTGGTGGAAAATAATAATCAGAAAAGTGGTGCAGACAGTCAGACTATAGACGAGAATGAAACAGATGTGGAGACAGAAGCAAGAAACAGACCTGATGGTTGTACTTTAAACTTTAGTGGGGAAAATCCCAGAAGGCAGCCACATTTGAAGATATATTTTACCCCGGGTGGAGGTGGAAATCAGGATGTGAGCTTTGGCAATGAAGCAACGACAAGTAATTCCAAGGTAAAGAGTGTGGAAAAGTTTAGTAGAAGCATACTCTGCCTCTGAAATGTTTGGTGAAAAATTGTTGAATTACAAAAGCGTTATGTAACATTTATAGACTTGTTCTAATGTTCCTAGAGAAACTGATATTAGAATGAATAGTAAACAAATCCAAAAATAGTGGGTGGCATGTGACATTTAGTTTAATATGACTTGGCTTGTTCCTCTTGTAGCCAAAAGGGTGAGGTCCAGCACTGTCATGGACATAACAAATGAAAAAGCCAGTCTAACACATCTAATTTGCAGTGGTTGCTTAAGTACTATTTAACACTAAGAATATAGGCTAGACAGGGAGAGATCTGTGTGGTGCTGATACAGGGTGGTGACTTTCCTGGACCTAAAAATCCCAGACAACCTTGCTGATCTAAATCACACATGCTGCTTTTCTTTCACTTCATAACCAGAATGACTTAAAATCTCACACACGTCAGCCAGTTTAGTTGTGCAAGAAATGGATGAATGGATAATTTGTTCCCATGCACTTGTTGCCTTCCGTTTCACAGAAATGCGACACTGGGGTTTTTGATAATACCCTTAAGTGCAGTCAGCACTCTTTAAGAGCTGGCTGTGTCTATTTTTAGTTTACCTCGAGCGTGTTTGTTGGTTTTGAAAGCAGGCAAGCGGCATGTCTTCTCTAGTTCTTGGCTGGTATGGATGTGAATCGTTGCAGCTGCTCAGCAGGCGATTAAGAACTAACATGTCAGTGCAGCCCAAACAATGATCAAAAAGTTTCACAAGCAGCGTCGGTTTCCTCAAAGCCTGAAATCTTTTGGTGTTGCTCTCCAGTCTTATGCATATGTCCAACTCTGGTGCTAGAATGCTATAATCAGTGTATCGAGTTACCCAAATTGCTGTTTATTTATTAAACTTTTAAATACTTTCGATGTAGAACGTTTTAGATGTTTCTTTTAAGCTATTTTTTAAATGGCACTTTGGAGTTGTAAACTCAATTTTTAGCCTAAAATTAAATATAGTAGATTTTGAAATTAAATGATAGGGCCGTCATTGACTGTTTGAGGTTTACACCAGCAGGATGTAGGTTTATCATGAGATGTTTAGCTCCAGGAAGGACCGCCTAAACAGGAAGCTATTTGCTCATATCATGTTTTAGTTCATCTGACCAAACCACTGATTTCATTCATCTGAGTCAACCCCCCCCAAAACCCAAAAGATTCCCCCGCCACAAACCAGATTGGTTATTTGTAAAAGTAGAAACATGCTTTTTCCCCCTTTTGGAGCTAGCCTCAAGTGGCCACTCCAGGAACTGCAGTTTTTTGCATTTAATCATCAGCTTGAGTTTATTGCACCTCATCGGTTTCTGCTTGCTTGTATGTGTAGAAGTTGTGACCAGTCGGCTAAAGAATATCTCTTCCCACTCAGTTTGACTGAGCTTAGTCTGCATCCAGGCAGATACTGTGATGCACAGTCCTGCCAGTGATTTCGCATTATTCAGGTGATGAAAAAGGAGATGCCAAGATGCAGTAGCAAAGGTGATGATGAAAAGGGCAAGGGTGGTGTTGATATAGACAATCTAGGTTTGGATTAAAAAAGAAGAAGAAAGAAAACCTTTTCAGATCTAGTGGGAAAAATGAACCTCTTCCTTCGCCCCTGATGGTAGTGATGTGAGACTCCATGGCATCCTGTTTCTCAAGCAACGAGGAAGTCCCCAATTAGACCATAATGACAGGTCTTCCCCAACTGATTGCCTGGAGTTGGATTGCCCCTTTTTAAAACTGGGCTTGGGATGACGTGTGTGTGTGTGTGTGTTTGTGTGTGCGCACACCAGATGGACTAGCTGCAAATGGCTATGCCTCCGTGCCATGCCCTCGTTACAGCCCTGCCTTAGTACCCCTCGGTTTCCATTCATTGAGAGCTCCTGGAGGCCAGTAGGCTGGCTATATTTACCTGAGGCAAGATTGTGGACGAGTGGGGTGAGGGCACACTTTTTATTTTGGTCCGATAGCATGTAAGAGGCATTCAAATCACTTGTGTTGCGAAGGGCTTTTCTCTGACAGCGTGGACTTCTCTGAATTGCATGGTATTGTAATACAGTTGTGTCAGCAGGGAGACTGTTGAGAAGGTGAGACAGCCTTTTTACACCTCAGTGCCAGCCTGGACTCGCTCCAGATTGCCCTTTGTCGTAAACACCCTGTCACCACATCTTCCTGTAGCTTCATAGCATTTCCAGTTCTTAGCACTTTAGCTGCTTTCCTATAGTCTTGAACGATTGGAGTGTGTTTAGGAATGACAATAGATTAGGTTTTTACTCGTTCATTACATGTGAATTGAAGTGAAGAGCAAAATATCCTATAAACATTGGCCATGAAAGCTGCTGTCTGGGTGCTTTTGCTTGTTGGATTTAATTACAGGGTCAGAGAGAGATGTTGCTGCAGGCGACATTTAGGGTTTTATTTTTTTAAATTTTATTTCATTTTATCATTTTTTTGGTGCTGTGAGAACCACAAAATCATTTGTAATCCACAGATGTTGCAGTGGTATTTCAGCACAAATCTCTGAAATGGTTATATTCTCATCCAAACTTGCCAGAGTAAAATTAGAAGCGTGTGAAAAGCAATTGTTTCGGTGACCTACTCGTGTTCAGTTTTCAAACTTTTTTGGGCTAGCTTCCTCTTTTTTTTTTTTTTTTTTTTCTCATACCTCAAGCCACCCCTCTTTGTCCACCCGTACTTCCTTCTGTTGGTCTTTGGTCGCACTCTCAGAGTGTAACCTGGTCCTGGGAGGCAGTTGCAGACTCAAATCTGACCTCTTAATGACTCTGTAATTAAATCCAACTCCGTATATAAGGTCAGAGCTGAAATGCTTGTTATGGTTGGTGACATTTAAAAAAACAACAACAAAACAGGTTTGCCTGCAGAAGGTGTTGTTTTCCATGTGATAATATCATTGCAATTGCTTATATCATACACTGGAAGTGACAGTGCTACTGCTGTTTATGTGATCATGTGGTAAAAGAGTTGTGGTTATGCTGTGGTCAAGTTTGCTTTTGATGCTCTCTCAAACTTGGAGGAATCTTATGTCGGACTGCTTTAAATGAGTTATGTTAACAGTAAGTGAATCGTTTAGTTTGGTTGGTTTAGAAATTGAAAGCATGCATTGCGGTAATTTGCACAGTAGTGACTCCTGTTTTCCAAGAAGGGCTCATTTACAGTGTGTTATTCAGTGGAGGTGGGTGGACGTGCGAGGATGAGTGACTTCACATACGTTCGTGTGTGTGTGTGTGCGTGTGTGTGTGTGCTTACATGCCTGTGCGTTAATCAGTCATCATTTTTATGTGACTCATTTGTAACCTTTTCACTACTGAATTCCAGCTTGGTTAACTGTGGTGGGAGCCCAGTGCAGTCACTCCACAGCTCTTTTTTCTTTTGTTTATCAGAATAAGCTGGTGTTTTGGTTTGTTTTTTGTTTTAAATCTTTAAACACCTTAACCTCAAATCAGTGTTAAAAAAAATCCTTTCCAGGCCATGCAGTCTATTCTGTAGAGGCTTAAATTCTGCTTGTTCTTATTCTTCATCCAGAGGTATAATACTGTTTTCAGAACCAAGTCAGTTTTTGATTTTTATTCCTTCTGAAAACTTTTTTTTTTTTTTGCTGATTTCAAGTTAAGTAGCCATAAATATCACATTTTACTGTCAGAATAAGCATATATACAGTGTTCCCCACACTTAATTTACCTGGAAATTGTGGCACGTGTGAAAGTTGTGGAAACAATGTTGAAAATGTCCTCTGTTGTACATTAACAATAATCAGTCTTTAAAGTAGAAAACAGACTGAAGGTTTTTTAATTAAATTTTTTGTAATTGTGGTGAATGGGAGAGCGTATAATTGACAGTCAGTAGGTTTTTTTTGTTGCACTACTGTAGTTGTCTTTGCGTAAATCTGTCACTGCATCATTCAACCCAGCAGTTCAACCAACCTGTTGTCTAAATCAGTTGTGTCCTACACACAGGCTACTACCAAGAATGGGCTTTTCCATCTCGGACAGGTAATCCATACTCTGTAACGGACAAATCTATGGGCCTCTTAAATTTCAGACACAAACCTTCCCTGTTTTAAATTTTTCCTTGTGGTCACATCTGCCCTTCTCTCCCTCTGTCCAGCTGATTTGGCTTTTATCTGGTGGCTGTAGATGTTTTTTCCTTGCTGGGATCGCAGGTTTTTCTCCCATAAAGTGTTGCAAAAGGCCTGTCCATAAATAAATCTCGCTCTGAACCTTCTGTCTGGACACATGTGGAAATCTGTCCTGATTGATAGAGAAGCTGATCTTAAATCATAACTAATCAAGTGCAATTGTTTTCAGTAAGACCGCGTGGAAATACTTGAACAGTTTTTCTTTACTGCCTTTAAACTTTAGATTCTCAGGTTTCCACATGTGTTCACAAATTAGGCTGGAGGTCACTGTATTTCTGGATGGGGCTGTCCATGAAATGAACTTCTTTTTGCCTTTCTTTCCACCTGTCTTTAGTACATACAAAATGCTGCTGGATAATCTGGTGATTTTTACCTCAACATTGTGGTTTTCCCTTCATTATCCCTAATGATACTTCGGGCTTTTCACAGACACACTCAAACAAAAACAAAAAGTCATTCTTTTTGAATTTCAGCTTCTAAATGTGACCTTTTTCTTTCCCTCTAGACTAGAGATGATTTCCTGGGGCAAGTTGATGTTCCTCTCAGTCATCTGCCAGTAAGTTATTTACATCTCTGCTGTCGTTTATTTACGTCTGTATGTGTGTAAAGCTTGAGTGCGTGTGGACACTCTGGCTGGTTTAGCACTGTTTTGAATGCTCAGCTGTTTCTTATCTACAATTTTGCTGTTCCTGATTAACCTCTGTGAAGGTCAGGGAGGGAGTTTGTTTGTGTTTTCCCATCTTGAGTGTGAGAAAGTGCTAGTCACAGGTAATGCTTCTGTTGTGATTAAACAGCGCTCTCTGTATTAGAAAGGGAAAGCGGGCTGTCTAGCATGTAAACACACAACATCGACCTGCAGAATCAGGGTGCTTGGGAATTTTTACAGTTGAGGTCTGATGCAAGCACAAGCCATTCTCACACCTGCAACTGTTCAGCTGGACTGGACACGAAATGTTTTTTTTTTTTTGGTTGTTGTTGTTTTTAAAACCTTCTTAAGTAGTAAGTCGGTGTGATGCAAGAGTAAACCAGGTAGTTGTCTCGCGTCTGATGTCCTTCTGTCCTCTGCATACTCTGCACAGAGAACACGTTTGAAGTTGCTTCTTGTGAAAATTGCAAAACTGAGTAGAGCTCTTATGTGCAAAAGGCTTAAGAGACCTACAAATCATCCTGAAGCAGCAGCACCTCTGCACATTTGGGAGCTTTGCTGCCAGCTTGGTTGTGGCTCCCTAAAGTTCTGTCTTAGTTGTCGACCTTAAAAGCCTATCAGTAAAAGTTTTTGGGGTTAATTATTAATGCCCTATTTGGGTCCCACAGGCCCAGGAAATTATTAGCAGATAAAAGCTTACAGCTGAGTCACGTTGAGAGTTGAAGCCTTGGGACAACATGGATAATATTAATGCTAAAAAACAAAAACAAACCAAGGCTTGTTTTTAATTAATTAATGAATTTGATTAAACATGGAGGCTTGGCACGAATAACCTGCTGTAATGCTTATACAAATACGCGATGTATAAAAAGGTATGCGTCTGTTTTTATTTGGTTTATTTTTTCATGCATTACAGAATTTCTCGTCTTATTCATAGTTACTGGGCATAACTTAGTCATGTCTCCTTTCTCCGTAATAGCTTCTTGTAAACGTCCTTTTACTTTTTATGAAACAGGACATGAATACTGACTCATCAGAGTCCATCTGGTAGCTACATTTTCCTTATGGAACCGTGACCTCCTCTTAGCAAATAACAGGACAACGCCATTCCTCTTTTTCTTGGTCGTCTGTATTTAAGCAGGCTCCACACTCAACTACCTCTTTTTACCGGGCTCTGTGTTGTATGTGGTGAGACCAGATAAATAAAAGCACGTGAGGTCTGAAAGTTTTGCAAATCAAAAACCATGTATGATTGGAATTTCCCCTTTAAAGTCATCTGGTTTTGCACCTCTGGACTTCTTGCAGTGCTGCTGCTAATTTTAGATGAAACTGCCAGGACATCCATACTGTGCATTTCTGTCTCAAACTGAGCTGACGTTTGTAGTAAGGATTATCATCAGGCTGATGAGAACTAATCTCCGGAGATTCTCAACTTGGAGACCGAACAGTGTTTTCATTGAAAGGGTGTTGATGTTCAAGGTTAGGACAGGAGCTTAGGTAGTGAGCTCGTTGGTCGTTTTTGCCACATTCACAGTTTGCTCCACTGAGGCCAGATTTAGGTCTATGAGTTATGCCATAAAGACCTCAAACTATGGGTGACCAGTCATTATAAACAACTTGAACTGTGCACCATCTTATTCGCTACTCACCTGACTCATCAGAGTTGCCTCCCTGTGACTTTAACCTCTTCAGATTGGAGGAGGACAGAGTGGAGCTCCATGGACTGAAAAGTATCTGCAGAACTTGCTTTAGTCCACAAGGAAAACATCCTAAATGGGAGCTTGATTGATAAAATTAATATTAGATATTATTTTATGTTAATACTGCCCCTAATATTTTGACTTGGAATTTTGTTCCAATCTATTTCATATTCCTGCTTTGAGGAGCCCCACCTAATATTTTGAGACCAGTGTTTTGACTGTAATTGAGGTCCATTATTTGGAAACTTGACACTGGTACTTTTCACACGTGTTCTTTTTCCTTTTACAAAACTTTCCAGCATTTTCTTTTAAATATGAAAACTGACTTTTGGCCTCAGCGGTATCTCACAGGGCATTATGCGATGAGCAGCCAGCACGGACTGGTTTGGCCCTGTCGGAGAGCGGTGTGAGATTGCTGTGAATTACAAAAGGCTGCTCAATATGTAACAGGAGAAGCTCAGGATTGCATAATGATCCTGGGATGTCTGTGCAGAGGGTTGTACCCTCTGTTGAAAGCTGGCGACTGTGATATTCTGATATCGCAACATGTGTATTTGCTTGTGTTCACTTAAATGCCGTCAGCAAAAACCTCCTCTATTTGCAGACAGAGGATCCTGCCATGGAGCGGCCCTACACGTTTAAAGACTTCCTGTTGCGGCCAAGAAGGTCAGTTTTGGCTTTGTTTGATATAAAATGAGAAAACGTAGATGGCAAATAGTAGCTGCTTTTTTGTGTCTGTCTAGTTTGCCCCCTGTTAGCAAGTGGAGTAGACAGTGACACATTATTAAAGTTAGATCTTGGTTCACAACACTGTCTAGACTCTGGCCATATTGCAGTCTAGACAACGATAACTTCATGCGGCTGTCAGCTAAATACTGAACTTGGAATTCCAACTAGGACTAATGAGCAGGAAGTATTTAAAGCAGATGTTTTCCTTTCAGTCACAAGTCCAGGGTGAAGGGTTACCTGCGTCTGAAGATGGCCTATCTGCCCAAACAAGGAGGGCATGAGGAGGAGGGGGGAGACATGAGGGAGGAGGCTGAGGTAAGGTCTAATCCTCTGTTGTTAGTATAAACTGCTGACTTTGCATTACCTAAGACATTCTTTGGACTGTTTTTTTCCACAATAAAAGCAAACCAGATTCTACTGTTATTCCTTTCTGCCACATGAAGGCAACATAGTTCTAAGCTTGAAAGTAAATGTCCCACTGTGAACCAAAAGTAATGTGAGAGCATCTTTCTTTTTTTCTTTTATTATTTCTCTGAGAATTTGGGAAGCCGCTCACTGCCAGCATCTGGTAAAAGTCTTTTCCAGGTCAGGGTCTGGAAAAAACATTTACAATGTGGCCTGTTATTTGGAGAAAATTGAGCTTTTCCTACTTTAATATGTGTTCTTGGATGTGTGGAAGAGAGCTAGAGAGCGAAAGGCTTCACAGATAAGGTGACATTTAGCAGCCAAAGCGTGAAAGCTTAAATGGCACCCCTCATGTTCATACTGCAAAAAATTCCCCTTCCCCCCCCGACTGTCTGTATTTCTTTTTTCTTTTTCATTGTATTAAAGCCTCATTACTAATGCTTTTTTTCTCCTTTGTAGTAGCTCTTTTTTTCTGCCTACGTATTAAATTAAGCGTAAAATTGCCAACACTACGAGTGAGATTGTTACTTAAACATCAGCTCCGTCTTGGATTGTAGGCATAGATACGCCAGCTTGCTGGCAGCTATGAAACACAGGCATTAAGTAAAACATGAAAACAAAAAAAAAACAGCAGAAAAATATAACCAGCTACATCTTTAATGTACTTCTTTCTGATCTTTGGCTTAAACCTACCATACTACCCTTCAACCATACTGTCTTTCAGGGTTGGGATGAGTCTGCTGACTCAGGCTCCCAGCGACCCCAGCAGCTGCTGCCTCCTTTGCCTCAAGGCTGGGAGGAAAAAGTGGACAACCTGGGACGCACCTACTACGTAAACCACAACAACCGCACTACACAGTGGAAACGGCCTTCCAACGTGTACGCCTGATCTCGCACTAATACAGCCTCGAACCTTTCACATGTCACTGTTGGTTTTTATACATTAAAAAACCCCCACAATGTTAAAGTCTGAGGATTTTTGCCCATGTACTGCAAGCTTAGTGAGGAAATACTCTTCAAAAATATTATTTAAGATGGTTTTTTTTGTTTTTTTTTTAACATCAAAACAACTGGCGTCGGCCACAGTTATTCCTATTTGTAGACGTTACACTCCTTTAAAAATTGATAATTGGACATTTTAAAATATACGCAAATTCCCTCTCTATACACACAATAATGCCATATTCCATGTCTCCACTTAATTGGGAAATTATTATTATTAATTATATAGATATATTAAAAAGAAAAAATGAATTACAATATTTTTAAAAAGTTAAATTTTTGAGCTTTATCACTTTTTCTGCTAAAAACTAAATAAGTGCACACAGGGTAAAAACAAAATCCTGCATATAAGGGCCCATTAGCTTAGCTTAGCTTAGCTTAGCTTTGCACAAAACTGAAGACAGAAGAATGGACTGAATATCAGTAATCTAATGTGTTTGTCCTTGGCTAGCCTTCTGACTTAGCTTTATATTTAGGAGACAGATAGAAGAAAGGCTTTTAACCTTCTGAGGTAGCTCTTAGCAGTAAAATGAAAGAGCATATCACTCGTCAAAGTAATCCTTCAACAAAGTATACACGGTTGACAAAACATGATGGACATATTTTATATCATCATTATTCTGAGCACACCTGATAGACTGTAAATTGTTGTTGAAATAACTAAATATAACAGCGTTTGGCTCTTGTTACTAAATAATCCTGCACAGGAGAATTAATTCATGATGATTAACTTTTGGTTTCCATTCATATTTTCTCACCAAATCTCTCTCAGAGACGTGATTTCAGAGATTGAGAGTGACAATCAACAGCGGCAAATCCATCAGGAAGCCCACCGCGTTTTCCGATCAAGGCGCCACATCAGTGAAGACCTGGAGAACGAGCACCTGGAGCCCAGGGACTTGGATAATGTGAGGGGGGAAAAAAGAGCAGTCCACTCACGCACACTTAAACTCATCTACAGTGGTAAAATTTCCAAAAGATCTGTGTTACATCAAGATTTTGTCTCTTTGTTGTGCCGGTAGTCTTGGGAGCTCATCACAGAAGAGGATAACGACAGCTTGGCTCAATCTCTGCCCGGTCCCTCCTCCGTTTTGACACCACAGCACACACCAACACCCATCACCCAGGAGTTCTCAGAAGACTTAAATCTGAGGCTGTCGCTGACTCCCGATACAAACGGCGAAGTGCCAGGGCCCAGCTCTGCTTTGGTGAGACTGGAGAACCGTTAATTTTCCATTGTCAAAAACCTGGACCTGGTGTAAATGTAGGCAGCCAAACAAGAGGCAGCACTGGCAGCGGCGTTTATTCTCTCTTTGCTTCCTTTGAACAGAGCCAGCTGTCAAACAGACTCCGTTCCTCAAGTATGACGGATGGCGTCAGTGATCAGGCCCAGGCTCCTCCTCTTACGGTACATATTTCTAAAGCCACAAACCCTTCCTCCAGCTTTTTCTACTTTCCTTCTCTTTCTGTGTTGTCTAAGCAGGTTGCTAATGTCTCATTTACCTCCTCCTCGTGGATGTGTCTGTCCTGTTAGTTTACCACATGCTAAATCACCTTTCTTGCTCCTCTTGCATTTCAACCTCCAGCAGATGCTACTACCCACCTCACCCTTTGTTTCTTCCCTGCTTCAACTGTACCACTTATTCTACTTACTTTACTTTTTGTCTCTCTAGGGTTACCACACCTCTTCGTCTCTCATCACTGCTCTTTGTGATTCACATTCCACTGTGTTTGATTTGTTACGTCTCACCAGAATCATGATTCCACTTAAAAACTCTGAGACAAAAAAGTAAGATTAAGAAGTGCACCAAGGTTCCCCTGGAGTCCTGAGTCATGGCGTCAGCTGGGATTCAGCTTAACAAACTGTCACAAGATCTGAGTCAGATGTTTGTCAGTCACACAGCTGCGACACAGCAGTGAGCTTTAGCATTGTTAAGAAGAAGTGACAGTACAGGTGCTCGTGTCTTTCTTTCCCTTCCATGATACGTTTCTCAGAACTGGAC